CACTTTTTAAAGAGGCTTTTTAAAACAGTTAAGCAGAGTCATCCATTGGAGACTGGCAGCAGCTAACCCAGCCTGACCTCAGCAGCTCTTGCCTTTTTCCTTTTACATTTTGACATTTTCATCATAGCAGACAAAAGCAGAGTTGAAATCCTCTGTGAAACAGCTGGAAAAGATATGTGGGTCGGAAGGAGGGGGAGGAATTCAAAATTAATGTAATTTGTAAGTAATTGTATTATTGTAAGTAATTTGTGTATGTTTGTTTGTTTGTGTGTGTTTTACCCATCTCTGCTGGGGCGCGGGCTAGCACTTTTTTTATGTCGGACATAGTGCCTATGCTTTTGGACATAGTGGGACGCCTCTATGTCAGACACAGTGCCGAGGCTTTTGGACGCCCTGGCACTGTGTCCGCCATAGAGGCTGTAGCGGCAGGGAGGCTTTTGCCTCTAGCGCCGGGGCGGCAGGGCGGCTTTTGCATAGCGCCACTATATCCGACATAGAGGTGTCCCGCCTCTATGGCAGACATAGCGCTGGGGTGGCAGGGCGGCTTTTGCCCGCTTTCAAGAAAGCTTTCTTGAAAGCAGGCAAAAGCCGCCCTGGCGCCAGAGGCAAAACCCGCCCTGCCGCTATGTCCGACATAGAGGTGTCCTGCCTCTATTTTGGACATAGCGCTGGGGCGGGATGACGGCTTTTGCCCGCTTGCCTCACCAGCCATAAACCTCACTGCACGTCACTGATTCAAGGTATAATGCTATCACCTTCTATTTTCCCCAACAATATCCTGTAACAGGAATTGACTAAGAAAGAGTCCCAAGTCAGAACTTGGCCCCAAGTCACCCCGTGAGTTTACATGCCAAAGGAGGAATAGAACTCATAATTTCCAAGTTTCTAGCCCAGCACTTTAAGAACTACATCAAATTGGTTCTCTCATGGTCAAGTGCATTATATTTTTCTAAATCAGTCACTGACTGAGATTTGTGGTTATAGAAACTGAATGAGTGCATGAATACATGACTATGCAATAGCTAGGTCTTATATTTATTAAGGGGTACTCGCTCTGGACAACACCTGTTTTAAATGCAAATATCCTCCCCAGTATATATATTATAATATATTATAAAACACTTATTTGCTGTTTTCCTTTATTAAATAATACTTGGTTAGTTTTCTTCCAACTCAAGTAGTTTATATATTACAAAGAAGTAGGGCTACTATCTTTTGTTACATGTACTATTACATTTGCTACATCTTAATAACATATAAATCAGTCCTAAATTATGATGCCACAAACTAAAACAGATTTTTTTTTGGCAGATGATCCTCTGGATTGTTATGCCTTTCTATTCCACTTTTAAAAAGAAAAATGTTTACAATTTTATTTATAAAGAAAACTGATATAATGATGAAAAAAGCCAACTTTATTTCTAAGAGGTATTTTACAGTTCTCAATGAGATGTTGATCACATGAGCTAAGGCAGATACTTTATTTTGCAAACACACAAAGCTTATGTGAAAATAAATCTTTGACTTGCTCTGTCTTTCTAAAACAGAGTTGATAGTTTGAGCTCTTGAATCTCCCAGTGCCTTTTCCTGAAAAATTTATAGTCTCTTCAACTGACTTCTTCCCCATCTCTCAGCATTCTAACTGTGGAAAACAAATATGTTTATTTTAATTCAAGCATTTCCTTCTAATATATTATGCCACTAGGAAACACCTCCTTATAAGTGAGGCTCAAATAAGAATACTGCTTGCAGATCACAATTCTAAGGAGACTTCAAACTTCCACATTGTTCACCCCTCCCCACCCATTACATATGCCTTAAAAGGGTATGATTTACAGTAGCTCCTTGTGTCTTAGAATATTTGGAGGAAAGCAAGAATTGATGATGAACAGATTCAAATACTACAAAATGCTTCTGTGCACATCAGTGCTACAGCACATATAGTTGCTAACCTCATCTGTTAACCGAATTAGAGTCCTGGAAGGGATATACAATTTTCAGGCTCTTGCAAAATGTCAGTGTTCTCCACCCACAACTGAACCATGGATTAACTGTTCTCTAGAGAGTTCTCTACATAGTCCAGAGGGTAATATTTTAGCACAGACATTGTGATAGTGGATTTGCATTCCCCAAACTAATAAGAAGAAATGAATTGCACAAACTGTATCTTTGTTCTGTATTGTCCCTAAGAAGAGATATTTTCAAAGTTGTTGACTTGCATTTTATACCATATTACCTACGAGGGAAATCTAAGCCTCTCTATGTTGTCACAAAACCCACACCTCTCCCAGTTTCTCATGTAGCATAAATCGGCCCTTTTACTTTGGAAATGCATGATGAGGTTTGATGGTAGGTAAGGAAGAGGCAGTGGCACTTTTCGTTGGAGAAACTTCCTGGTTCTCTAGCAAGTGGCTTTCAGGTTGGAATTTTCTGTGAATTGGCTTTGATGGTAGCTGAGTAAGTACAAGGTCCTATGAAATTAAAAAAAAATCTTTTAAAAACTATTTTTTATTAGACATTTCAAAGAAAATATGGAAACTTGTGAAGACAAGAAATAAAAAAGAGATAAAACAATAAAATAAACAAGAGATCTACAAATATCATAAAAGCTAAAATTTTCCAGTACTGTTTACTGTATCATTGATTTTGAATAATGGAATATACTGTATCTTTTAATAAGCCTAAAAATGACTATTAAACTCCAAACCAAAATTCCCCAAACTTTCTTGCTTAGTGGCTCAGTAATTTTTTTCATAGTGCTCTGCAGTTTCCAAATTGTCTACCTTATTACCAGCCAATGCATCATATGCTTTACTGATGTGTTCTCAGGCCCAAATCTTTGTTAACGTCAGCAATAAACTTTGACACTGGCACAATACAGAGAAATTTCTGCAACTCTTTGTTTTGGACTGAAGCAATATTTCAACTATTAAATGAAAAATTAGACTAAAAGTGAACATTTAAAAGAATGTTTCTTGAAATATGAAGCAGAAGATACTATGGAATATAGGTTAGAGAATATACAGTATTTCAATACAAATATACTACAACACAACACAACCCAATACCATCGCTCTAGAAAAAAACAACTTTGTAGGATGAATTATTTTAGCCTGAAAGTTAATTATAGCTGAAAACATCTATAAAATGTCAGGTCTATACATTGCTAATGTTAACAAAACTACTACTAAAAAAGAAATATTGTGCCATCTTGTAGAATTGTACGTGTTCAGGGCATATATCTGCATTTGCTGCCAACCTGTTGATTCCAATTCAGGTATCATTCTGCCAGGGATACTACAATTTTCTAGCACTGGATTCATTCATTTATACATCTTTGTAAATGCAACATGAGTTGTGCTAGAAATATTGTCACAGCATTAATCAACTGAACTAAAAAATATATCTCAGCTCAAAATTCCTAACTATATAACTTCATAAATTTATTATTATGAATTTTTTGGAAAACATTCTTACTTTGGAAATCCATTATGAGAAAGTCTGATTTTTTCCACCAGATTGCCTATTCAATGGCAATAGGATATTGTTATAGAATCTTTATTTAAAATGGGTATATTTCTTTGCTTTAGGCCTGATACTGAGATAATCTTTCCTTGGATTAAAAACTCTGATAGATTTTCAGATGCTCACATGTATGTCCACTGCCTTCAGCTATTTATAAAAATAATAAAAACAGGGTTCCCCCCCAAAAAAAACTAATAAATCTGTTGATCAGCTTTTGATCATTCGCCATTTTAAAAGACAGTTTTATATTTTCTCAATTTTTTTCAGAGACCAAGATTAAAATGAGTGGTTTACTTAGCTTTAACATTTTCTTTGTTCCATAAAAGCACAATGACGATAACAAATTTTATTAGAAACTAAAATGGCATAAAAAATGGGTAATAAAAACAAGATTTGAGCAAAAAACAATAAAGAACAATGCTGAAATTACTTATGCCCTACTGAACAATGTAATTCTTAAAAATAAGTATATATGGCAGTATATAATTAATTTTATAGATCTGAAATGACTTACTACTGAAGATTACATGATACGTCCTTACCTTTTTTGCTGGGCTGCTTTCTTGTAATGGGGACATGTTCACTGGCAAATGTGAGTTTATTTCAGAGTCTTGTTCTATCTGTAACAATGTGAAAACTTCTGTAATATCAAAAATATTTACTGCACTGTTGTACTGTCTGGAAGTGTATATTGAAATGCAAACATTTACTTCCATTAAGAATTTAGCTTTCTGCAATTGATCTCCACTGGATACTTGGGAAGACCTTCATAGAAATGAGAGATGAGACTTAGATGTAAATCTTTGGAAGAAAAAAGCCAGAATGGTTCAGAAACAAAATTCCCAGTGTTTTTGTTTTCTTTTGGAAAATGTTGTAAAAGGTAAAAACAAAACAAAAATCTCTCCAAAGAAACATTTACTGTTAAGATAATGCTTAGAATAAGACAAGAGTTTATTTAGTGTTATCTTTTATTCTTTCTAAATGCATTGGGAGACTTTTATCTGAATCATCAGAAGACTACAGTTCTATACAGAGGAGAAGTAGAACTCTATTTGAGTTAGCATCTTGGGACATGTTAGTAATTGGGGATGTGCAAAGTTTGTGAAAATGATACTTCACAAAGCACGTTACAATAAGTGATGTATCCTTCTTCAAACTGTTACAACAATTTTAAAGCTTCTTCGACATCACAATGCAGAGTTTGGTTGACCAAACTACTAGCTTCAGTGTATGCTAACAAATCAATTTGGTTCAAAAGAAAAGAAATGTAAAATGAAGAAATTGGATAAATGGATATAAAACTAAACTTTTCCAGGGTTTTTGCTTATTTTTACCTTCAAAGTCTGGCTGAGAATACAAAGTTAACATTTTGTAGCTACAGAACCATTACCCCTTTTCTTTTTCTGTGTATGCAACTTCTTTGGCCTTGTAAGTTATCTTCTAAAAAGTTACTGATATTTCCATAATGGTTTTAATTCCAATTACATGTTGAGGTACTCAGTGTCAAAGGGCTGGAGTAGTCTAGAAGCTACAGAAAATGAATGAATAAGTATGTTTTCTGATATCGCCTTGTAATAAAGTTTTTAGTGTATAAAACTTTCAATACACATGCCTTACATGTAGTGAACAAGGTGTTGGAGGATAACTTCATTTTCAATTAAAAAGAATTTGAACACTTGAATAATATAACCCTCAGACGTTATATTATGTTCCATGTATAAGACAGCAGCAATACTACACATCTGATTTTCTAAACTTTCCAAACTGAGTATTTTATTTTTCATTTTTATCTTTTAATTTAGAAAAACCAGACCACGTAGAGAAATGTGTGCATCTTAATATAATGCATTTTAATACGTGGGAAAATGCTGGAAGAATAGTAGTGGGCAATTTATCCTGTATTGTGAGACTTCTGTTGTATGAAAATGAAAGTTGGATATATTAGGAGAAATATAAAATTTGAATACAAAGGAAGTGTGTCCTTAGAAGAACATATGGTAAGTCAAGAAGACATAGGGCAAACAAATGAATGCATGTTAAATATAGTTTTAGGCAGTGATGTGCAGTGAGGTTTATGGCTGGTGAGGCAAAAAAGAAAGAAAGCGGCTTTTGGCCGCTGTC